TATATTACTGTTCGTAACGAACAAAAATACTTTCTCCACAACTATGCAAACCAGTTATTCAATCCAAAATACATTTCAAGTTCTTGTGCAGCACCAATTTACATGTAAAACCATCTGCATTAAGCTGCAGAGCACTGCACAAGAGCCTGATGATCTTGCATACCCACTCCCCTCCCCCTGTAAATGGAGCTTCCAGGACGTAAGCAAATAATGGGAACATGCAAAAGTAGTTGACTTTTCTTATAAAGGACACATATGAAGGTTTTTTTTGGTTTAAAAATACAAACTCTAAAAATGTCTGGATAGATATTAAAATATAAATCATAAAATATACACCTCCCCTTTTCCTTTGTCTTTTTTGGTCATGTCCTCTCAAGAGAAATCTTGCTTCTTTCTCTTTTATATACCTGTCCCCTTCTCTCAGTGTTACCCTCCTTAACGATTCCTCTTACCTCCTCTGTCTTTACCGCTGTCCCTCTCAGTCAGGTGATTGCTTTTATCCTAGACATGGTCAAACACCCCACATATTTAATTAATGCTTATCTCCCTATACTGTGACCTCCTTTTCACTCTGTCCTTCAATTCTCAACCCCCACCTGCATCTTTAAACCTTCTCTCCTCCTTCCTGCAGCCACCTGAGCGATCACTGCTACCTCTGTCTCTGTTTAAAACCCTATTCCTTCATTCTGTAACCGAGTGATCATCTAAATCCACGTTGTGGTCCCACAAACTCCCGAGAGATTCACCTGAAACTGAGGGCACGCGCAGCTCATCCATCACTTTTCACTTGCTGCTCTTCTCCACCCCTCTCCCCCGCTTCATTCATGTGCACTGTGGTTTCTCTTCATTCATGTTTTGTCTGTTCTCTAAAGGAGTTTTTCTTGTGCTCATTTATTCTATCGCAGCACCTCTTTAGAGAAATCCCAACGTCACCACACACTGCTGGTCCCTGTTAACATCTGGTATTAGCAAGTGCACGTAAATATTCATCCTATTACAGGCCTTAGTATTTATGCCAGAATCTGGAAAACATCCCTGTTATTTAAATTCTATAAGAACTCTACATTCCTGTGTGCTAAATTACAAGCAGCCCATTAAAAATTCCTCTAGAACTCACTTTATGAACTCTGTTGTTGTTAAATGTTAATGCTTATTATGCTATTTCCCTGCTCTTTTCTTTTGGGCTTTCCTTTTAGTTGTTTGCTTATCTAAAATTGCAGTTTGCTGATGCCTTGCATTGAGGCCGCATTACCGAAGCACTGTCCTGAATCTTAATTTATAATTTAGCAATGAAGAGCTGGGATATTATTTTTTTAACAAATACAGTGCATCTGAAATCAAGGCAAACAAAACTATACCATTCAAGAATTCTTGCTATATGCAGAAAAAGGCCTAGTCTTTTAACTTTTTTTCAGGCAGCTTAAGATGGGGATTAATTATACACATGCTGACCTCATTATTTGAACCACTGGACAGGTTTAAAATGAGCATCCATCACTGTAATAATGTATGTGACACAAAATAAAAGCAAAACAGGTTCCATTTAGAAGCAGAGAATACGTGCATGTGCAGGCGCTTTTACGCCTAGTTAGTTGTATTTAAAAATCAGTGAAAACTTTAGAATAAGACCACCTGCTCGCTACTACTTATATGCTAATTATTGCCTTAAAGTAAATATTTCTTTCAATTAAGGTCTCTTTTTGCCTTGGTGCCCATTTTCACTGCTAAATAAAACTGTAAATGCTGCACATCATGCATGTGTAACTGCTCTGTGTGTTCACCTCCACTGTAAGAACACTGCATATATGAGGCTTCACTACTTGTCTGTAGTTACTGTCTAAGTCACTCACACCCTCCCTGTTGTCGGACACAGTACAGGTTGCTAATACACACATCCGCTTCCTGTCAGCTTATGGGGCAGCTATGAATTATAAAAGCATGGCTACCAGTGTGTTACCACTGTGCTAAGTGGATATAAGATGGACAGAATGACAAAAGAGATAAGAGAGCTTCTTCACTTAAGTAAAGCAGTTGTTAAAGGCGTGCATGAAGGAGTATATGTGCAAATGATGTTTCGTTGTCTGAGCCTGTGTGTGTGAATGCACTGACATTGTGTTAACTTGGCATCCTGCTCCCACAGCTGTGCCTATGTGGAGGATTGGGAATATCCTGGAATTTGTCTGTTTATTCATTCAATAACATGTGCGTGTTGCTGTGTGCATAAACGTACAGCAGCATACCTGCACCATCTGGCGCTGTAACACCCCCCCGCCCACACACACACTTTGACGTGTTGACAGTGTCAAAGTCCTCTATCTTGTTCAAGTTTTAGATTTTTCCTTTTTATGTTCACTTCAGTTGTCTATTAATTGGAACACTGGTGGGTCAATCCCAGGCTGCTCCAACCTGCATGTCAGAAGTATCGTTGGGCAAGATGCTGAACCCCGAGTTGCCTCTGATGCATCCATCAGACTGTTGGCCTATGTGAACGTTAGGTTAAAACTGCTTAGGCATAGAAAAAGCACTTGCATGAATGGGTGAATGAGGCTTTATTAAAAAAAGCTTTGAGTGCTCAAATTCAGTAGAAAATAACTATGTAAGAGCCAATCCATACAGCCAAAAGGCTTTAGAGAGCCAATCAAACCCTGTGATCAAGGCACACTCTTCTGTGTGGTGCTAAATACGATGGATGTGCAGCCAAATGCCTTGAGAGTTTCTAGAAAAAGTCCAAATTAACAAGAAAATCACTCAGTTTTTAAAGGGAGAAATGCTGCAAATAAGGACTTGAAAAAGTAAGAAGCAGCGGGGGTGATGTATATGAATTTTAATTTGAATCATATTTACTACATCTGGCTTTTTACATTTTTTGGGCAATTAATTTCCTTAAACGTATTGTACAATTTATTATGTTTTTTTCAGTGAGAAAAAACAGTCACACTGATGTAGAAGTCTCAAAAACCCATACATCAAATATGATAGACTAGATGTTAAAGGCCTAGCTGACTTCATCTGATTTTGGGCAATAACAAGGTCTGAGTCACATTCTTGGAACCAAAACTTTTTCAAGACATTGTCAATTCTTCCAGCTGATAACGAAGTTAGATCAGATGTTAGATTAGATTAGCCATTGTTGTCTCTGGGGAAATTTACCTTGGACAAGTGAGGGAAACATGTAAGATAACACACACAAACAAACACTCTGCACTTATTACCATTACCATGTTGGCACTCATGTAAACCAGCTACAGTGAACACAACAGCTGTTAGCCTTGCTTGCCGTCCCGTATTCTGTGCACTTTACTCGCACAAGGAAAAAAAACAGCCTATTTAAACCGCTGATATCTAAATGTTCAATATGAATTTGTGTGATACTGTTACATCAGTCAAATGTTGGTCAGTGTCACACAAAGAAGAGTCATCTGACTTCTGTTTCAGTGATGTAGTAGCTGATCGTCACTGACATTACTCCTCCTGTGTTTTGTCGAATGGGAAATATGTTTATCTGGCTTTTGGAGTGTTGGGAGTTCCCCATTATCTAAATGTAGATTGCTTGTGAATTGTAAAGTTCACTGCACCGCCATGAAGTTTTGATGCATCCCTACTCCAACACAGCTGAATCAAATGGTTGGATTACCTCTTCAGCATGCCATCAAATTTGGCAAAGGCCTGATAACAAGCCATTCATTTGATTCAGGTGTGTCGGAACAAGGATGTGTCTAAAAGCTGCAGGACGGTAGCTCTCGAGGACTGGAGTTGGACCACCCTGCTCTACATATAAGAGTCAAGAAGTCTGGATTCAGTGGAAAGACCAACTTCTCTTCAATGCTTGGTGTGCCCCTCTGTTCAAGGATGGTTGTTCACAGTAGACATAGATGGCCTGTCTCACTCCTCTTTTAAACAATCTGTCTTCTCTGTCCATAATGTGAATATTGGCATCCTCAAAAGAGTGACCTTTGTCCTTTAGATGCAGATGTACAGCTGAGTCTTGTCCTGTCAGGGTGGCTCTTCTATGTTTTGTGGTGAGTTTATGGAGTGGCTCTTTGGTTTCTGCAGTGTAGAGATCTGAGCACTCCCCACTGCACAGCATATTTCATGTTACTTAACTTGTACTTGGAATGATCCAGAGCCATTGAATGGAAGAGTGGCGTCATCTCCACGCTAGCTTCGTCACAGAGTTACAGAAGCACAGTTTGAGGAGTTAAAAACAATGCTGTATGTTATTAGCACACAGTCCAACTGCCAGCTAAGCACTTGCAGAAACTATTTCAATGCTACAACACCCGGCTGATAGGACTCTGACTTACTCAAGGGCTCTGGGCTGAACCAGAACTGAAAGGTGAAACATTTTCATGAAATTTAGAAATCCAATCACTTTCTTTCAATACTCCCGAATGACCTGGATGACTGAGAGCCTATGCCTAAACTCTCTGGCAAGAATTCAGTGAACCACCATTGCCTTTGGTTCCATAATCAACAGGTGCTTGCGAAATTCACACCCAGTTCCAGCGCCATTCAGGCCAAAACAAGCTTCTTCTTTTTTTCCTCCAACCTGGAACAACAGTGCAATCCACCTTCAAAGGAAAAACCTTTCCCATCATTACTGTGGTGGTGCCAGGGTGCACATGCCTGGTTCATGGTAGTGGTGCAGATGCCTGGCTAATAACGCTCTGTTTGCCCTGTTAGTGCTTTATTTCTACCCAGAGCTATGCAGCGTGATGACAGCCACATCTACTCAGTTGCGATCTATTCTGCGGTGGAGGGTGAAGTCGAGAAGAGCAGCTTAAGAAGTGAGTTACAGGGATTATAGGCTGCTGTCACACTCTCATAGGCAAACACACAAACCTCCTCTGGTATTAAAAGGCAGACAGTAGGGGAGACAGGGCGTGTGCGTGTGGAAACAGCTACACGCACGAGCACTCACACACACAAACACACACACGCGCCGGCCAGAAGCAGAGAGAGGAGAGACAGACAGGCAGCCAGTCAGACTGATCACGTACCTTCCAGACAGCAGGTTCGCCAGAGGCCGGAGTGCGTCATCACCTCCTCGTTCTTGCGGCTCGTGTCGTTGTCGCCGCTGCTCTTCACGCGGCACACCCCGCGCGAGTACAGCCAGTAGTCGGTACCGACGGCGATGGTCATGAGGCTGAAGGCGGCGAACGCGCCCACCGTCGTCACGAGCATCTGGACGCCGCGGTCACACATCAGCATCTTCATATATGCGGCTCCTGTTCGTCTTAATCTGTTTTCGTGTGTGTGTGTGTGTTTCCTTTCCTTTTCCCCTCCGCTCTTTTAGATTCACCCCTTTTATTTCCTTTATATCCCGCGAGACTTGGAGAGTCAGAGTGAGGGACACGCGCTCAAATAAATAATAAGAGCAATAACAACAACAACAACACGGGGAAGGTAGGTAAAGGTGGCGAGTTTGTGAGGAGGCTATGGAGAGAGAAATGAAGCTGGACCCGGCTGCCTGGTTCGCTGAGTTGACTTGAGGCTCGTGGCAAAGGGCGGGAAGGTAGGAGAGCGGCACGTCACTTTCTCGCGCATCAAAAACCGGTTCTCACCATCACCATCCACATACAGAGGCGCGTGCACGCACCCACACAGCGTAGGATTAACGGCCAACGGTCGTCCCCAACTGCTGGCACTGCCCACACTCAGAGTGGAAGTTAACGGCGGTAACGCATCCTGCCGTGTTATTCGTCCCGGGGTTAGGGGAGAGCTTCTTGTCTTCGCCTCTCCTGCTTTCCTTCTTAACTTATTAATCTGTGAAGCATTAACAGCCAGGGTCTGTGTAGGGGGACTCCATCTTTAAAACAGCAAAACAGGGGATCATTTTGTCTGTAGCGATGTCACCCCCGCAGCGTGAATCTGTACTAAAGCATCACTCACCGCTGTGACCGGTTCTCCTCTTCCCACAGTGTCTCTGACAGCAGGCCAGCGTCTGTTCACCTCCCCGTCCAGTGAATGAATGAATGAATACAAGAATGGTGAATAAAGACCATGTGTTATCTACAAAGCGGAGACTGACCGACATCCATCGCGTGTTTTCCGCTCCAGCTGTTGACACAGTGACATGTTTTATCTCCCTGGATGACCAATGTCCGGGATTTAGACACTAGTCCAAACCGTATCCGGTGAAATGCTCTATACAAGTTAAATTGGTCCAATAAGCACAACAAGAAAGGATTAATCAGATTTATCCTCCATAGAAGTCAGTGTAGAACCGCAACCGGGACACACCGGCCGACGACAGTTACACCCGCTTGCGTTTGCTCCCAAGAAACGTGCCTGCTGGTAGGCGACAAATAATAAAAAATAAAAACAACAACAAGAAGAAGACAGCCGTCGCCTCCTCCACTTCGTCGTCCTCTTCTTCTTCCTCCTCCTCCTCCTCTCCGTCCAACCAACACAAACTAAAATTAACCGCGGGTCTCCTCAAACCCCGCCCGAGGCAGAGGCAGTCGGCTGGGATTGGGTTCCCCGGTGAAAGAGCCCTTCGGGAGCTAATAGTGTGCCTTCACTGCTGCAAGTCCCGCCCACCACCTTCTCTATAAAGCCAAGCCAGTTTCACTTGAAACACAAACACACACTGGTTGAAAAGTATTCCCACGTCTGCGCGACCCGGCTGGGTAGCAGAATAGACCCCGCAGTAGAGAGTTAACAGAGGGTATGTATGGCAGGTCATTAGTGCCACACATACAGCGGTGATCAGGACAGATCAGAGCACGCTGGACTTTGATTTGACCACGTTTCACTGTGAGTAGATATTGAGCTGTCTATACACACACACACACACACACACACACACACACACACACACACACACACACACACACACACACACACACACACACACGAAGAATAAAAGGGAATAAGTTGTGATAGCACAATAAAACGAACTGCATGTGTTCAAAGGCAGGGTTGCGTGTAGTTTTGTGGCTTGCTGTCCCTGGTGCTGAGTGCGGCGCTGTCCTTGGTGCTCATTTGAAACGCAGCGTCATCCCCCTCCTCCCCTCTCTGTTTTTCTGTTTTCTCCTCTCTCCTCCGCTAGCCGCGGCGCCAGTAGCTCCTGCGCCGCACTGATTAGTTAGAAAAGAGAGAGCGGGAGAGAGATTGGCAAGCGATGCATGGAGAATCGCGCTCGGGAGAGAAGCACAGACGCCACTTAAAGAGCCACGGACCGTTTTTAATGACTCCACTTCAGCGAGGATTCCACACGAGGCGGTCTGCTCTTCATGCTTCACTTAACACACCGGAGTGCGCGTGACCGTGGGTGCAAGTATCATAGGTGTATACCTGAGTAACATGTGTACATATGGAAATCAGAGGGGGGTTTAAAGCTTGCTGTAGCCTGCCTAAACCCAAGGAATGGAAACGTGGCTTCTTTTCTGGAGCCCATCCATCCACTTAAGTGTTTAGGTGCCACAGCTCACTGACTGATTCTCTGACTCTATTAAAGGCTGAGGAATTAAAACAATCAAAAACAGAGAGACAGAAAAGTGAGCACAGAGCACAGAGAGCGGGGGGAGAAGGATTACAGATAAATAAATCCATGAACTGATCACCAGAGAGTGCAGTGACAGGTCCTATCATTCTTCTCACTTGCTCTTCCTCTGTGTATCTGTGTGTGTGTGTGTGTGTGTGTGTGTGTGTGTGTGTGTGTCCGAGGCCCTTGCTCGGCTGCATTATCTCACAAGAAGACTCATTAACATAGAAATGACTTTAGGAAGAGAAGTACAGCGTTTCACCTCTGGTGAGAGACGGAAAGCAGGGAAGCCGAAGAGAGGAAGGAGGGCGGGAAAGGAGATGTCGAAGTGAGTTTGGATGGTGGCTGAGAAGAGAAGTGGAGAGATAAGGAAGAAAAAGAATGAAGGGTGGGCAAAAGGCAATGGAGGAGGCAACAAGTGAGGAAAGGACAGGTGGAAGAAGATGAAGAAAGGATATAGAAAAAGAAATGGTTGAATGGTGACATGTTGATGCAATCAGTTTACAGAATACAAGCAGCATTTTTCAGTAGATGAAATGTTCTTGTTTTTTGAGTAGAGCATAAAAGTTATAGAGCCAAAGTCTGACCAGTGGCACAGCGAGGGAACATTTTGTGCAGCCTGCAAGCGTGTCAAGAAAAGATGAAACATCAACAGTTTGTGTCATTCTATAAAGCAGCACAGAGAAAGACTGAGGGAGCATTTCTCTTCAGTTTCAGATCTTCTTTCTATCCATCATACATGGCTAACCCTTCCTAACATTAACACATGGAGCTGGTGTCAACAAACACTGCCTCACTGATGGTTAAAAACGGTAAACTCAAGGCAGCACAAGATTCTCTGGGCAGGTTACGAACGCTACCTACAATTTTTTGGATGTTTGCATTTTTCTTGTTCACATGAGCCCAAACTTTGAGACCCCCCCCCCCCCCCCCCCCTCCATTGCAGAGAGTTGACTTTTAGATACCCATTCGTTCATTTTCTTCTGCTTATGGAGTTCAACAGGGGTTAGCTGTCATAGGGCGAGGGGCAGGGTACACCCAGGAGAGGTCGCCTGTGGATCTACCAGCTCCACACAGAGACAGACAATCACGAACATGCCCAGAACCTTCTTGTGACAAGGTTAACCACTGCACCCATGAGCCACTCTCTTGGGTATATATTTTATTTAAAAAGGTTACTGACAGAATGCAGCATTGGCAACATGTATATAAAATGATCATATCTGTTATTAACTTCTGTCTCTCTTCCACAGCATGTCTTTTATCCTGTCTTCCTTCTCTCACCCCAACCGGTCGCAGCAGATGGCCCCGCCCCTCCCTGAGCCTGGTTCTGCCGGAGGTTTCTTCCTGTTAAAAGGGAGTTTTTCCTTCCCACTGTCGCCAAAGTGCTTGCTCATAGGGGGTCATATGATTGTTGGGTTTTTCTCTGTATCTATGAAGCACCTTGAGGCGACTTATGTTGTGATTTGGCGCTATATAAATAAAATTGAATTGAATTGAATTGAAAATATACTTTCAGGTTTCCTACTCTGTGGTCATGAGGTATAGGTAAGGTAAGTATATTTTATATAGAGAGGTACTACTACTAAGAATTAAACACTGCAGTTGTGATATATTTATCACAGCAGGCACGTGTTTTATAAATATCGACAACAGTAAATCTTAGGTTTCTTTCAGGATGTCAGCAGAAACACTAAAAAACTGCAGTCAGATTTCTTACCATGAGTAATGCAGATTGTTGTAAGATCAGCATCACCTTGTGGCTTAATTTCCTCTCTTAAAACCCTTTTGCTCTCTTAGATATGGCATAAAGTGCAGACTACTGACAGGAACTTTTTATAACGACAAACTATTAACTTCTAACCAAAGTGTGATTACAGTGATGGTGTTGGTAGGCAGCAGAGAGAGACAGGACTCGAGGAGGCCCTTGTGGGGAAAGGCATTTGGGACATGACGTTAGCAATCACCAAAATGTCCTATGTTTGCCCTTTCTCTGTCATTGGGAGAGCTGTTTCTGCTCTCTTTTTCTCTCCTCTCCTCAGTTATTGGCAGTGCAACAGAAGGATGAGGATAGAGAGATGGGGAGGTTCTTGAAGCGGGGAGGAGGAGGAAGACTGCAGGGCTTCTGCTTGGTGAGCTGGAACCTTCTCACACCTCTGGCCAGTGTTCAGAGATTAGGAGGAGGAGGAAGAAGTTAGAGGAAACTGAAAACCACAGAGAAATTAGAGAGCAAAAGATAAGCTGTTTGGAGGAAGAGAAATGTGCCGTAAGGAGGGTGAGCTGGATAGATTTACAGATGGGGAGTGTGGGGCAGCTAGTGGTGATGTTGCATTTTTGTGTGACTGTGCTCGTATATTTAATGATGTATACAAGTGAGTGCGTTGGAGAGAAATCAGAGTTTTTCAGATGTGTGTGTTGCCTCTGGCACGGCCAGAGTTCAGTCTTCTGTACGTGGTAGGTCTTCAAATGTGAAGTAATCATTCATTTCTGGGTGATTGTAATGTGCATGACAAACACTTTTTTTCATTGTCACATGAAAAGTGTTTCTAATGAGTTCTAATGTTTCCTTTATGTAATTCATGGTGCAGGGACATGGATGTTAGCTTGAAGAGTTTAGTTTATGCTACAGTCACACTGGCGAAAACAGTGGCTAGAGACCATGGCATCACCAAAATTACGGCAATCGTTTGCAGTCTCCACTCGCTGTCACCTGGTGTCTTCAAGATGTGTCGAGATGGTGATACAGCAATAAGATGAAACCAGTCTGCTTCATGCTAATAATTGTAACTGTGATAGAGCAGCGAAATTTGCAAACCTGTTGCCGTCTACTTTTTTAAATATTTATTGCAGTGGAGTCAGGATCTTGATGCTAGTTGCCTTGGAGCTCTGGAGGGGTCCCCATCACGTCGTTCGTCTCTACATTACCCCATGCAGGGTGCAAATTACTTTAAAAAAAATCAGTGGAAGTGATATAAATAATTAAGCAGAGGTGTTATCCATTAATTTGGGACCGCTCGCAGGCTGACTCCAGTTGATTGCAATGAGTTGGTCTGTCTGCATTTGTAAAGTATTTGCAATTATTTTAAATTCTTCTGTCTGAATGAAATCAGTCCAAGTCGGATGGCAACTTTTTCCTAGACGTGTTGCTTCTCAATTGCCTGTGTAATTGTCTTGTAATTGAAAGTAGTTGCCCAGAGGTTGATGGTCTTTCATGATGAACATCTGGGCAACCAGGAACTACTTAATGTCAGTCTCCCAACACCAAAATACTTAAAAGCAACCACTGGTTTTTCCTAGCTGTTTTATTTTTCCTATAAGTGTGACTGAGGCTTTAAAGACTTGGTTTAAAGTTATGAGCAAACAGGAAAACAGGTCAGTGAATGTCTCATAAAGATATGGGAACATGACTGTGTGTGTGTGTGTGTGTCAGATTAGGTAAAAACAACAGACTTTGACATTGATTGATTAAGAATGAGGTGTGGTGTGAATGAAATAGAGAAACAGAGAAACAGAGGGACACTTTAGCTGGGAAGAAACATGTCTGATGGTGTGAAGGTGTGCCTAATATGGTTGCCTAATGAAAACGTCTGTGCGGCTGTATGAGAGAGAGAGAGTGAGAGGTGGTAGAAGAGAGGGCAAGAAAGGAGATAGGGTGAAATAAATCCAATAAGCTCCTCTGTCATGCTACCCTCTTGAGCGTTTTAAAGAGCCACTGAATGAAAAAATAAGAGAATCTTTTGCTTTTGTCAGTTTTCCTTTTTCATCTCTCGTCAGTCTGCTGCAGAGAGCGTCGTTTTTACCTCAAAACTCCCCCATCATCTTTTTTTCTTTTTCATTCAGCAATAGCATGTAGCTTCCTCGCTTCAGCATGCTCTGAAAGGCACAGAGCTAAAATGCATATACCAAAATCAGTGCTTCCTCTGTCACTGCCTTTGGGCAGGCTCCAATCAACACCCCGCTCTCTCACCATTGCAAGCCTAAGGGGAACAA